CAGTCATCTAAGAATTTGAGGTGACATTTAGAAAACAGTCAGAATAATTAACAAAGAATTGAAATTTATGTTAACAAAAAATGATGCTGGTAAATTCTATGTAGAATGCTCGAGATATCTTCGATCTAGTAAAATAAAAGTTTTAAAGACTGTTATCAATTATAATAAATGTAACTGGTCAATTATCACATGCAAGCATTTAATTTCATATGATTGATGACGACTTGGCTCTGAGTCACAATTTTCAAATCTGGAAAGTTTGTGTAACAAAGATTGTCCATCATGCTAAAAAAAGTAGATTGTGTAACTTGTTTTTATTATATTTCAATTTTATTTACGTTCATGCTTGAGCCTTGTTTTTAATGAAATAATACAAAGAAAAAAGGGGTAAACGATATTAAGTATAAAAATAATTTTGGTTGTTTAAAAATGTCTTCTGTGTCTTCCGTTAACTATCGTTTTAAAATTCAAAAAGGTGAGATGGAATTAGAGTGTGTGTACATTAAAGAAAGAGATAAGCTGCCGCGCAAGAATGACAAAGATTTTGAAGATAGAATTAGACAAATTTTTATGAATATGAATATAGAATTATGTAGACTTGAGTGAGTATTCACTGGGTCATTGTCTAGTTGTTATGTACCTGAAGTTGCACTGCCAATAGATGTAAATCATGAGAATGAAAGCTCATCACGGCCATAATCCATGTGGTCAACATGGTTATGAACGTTCTTTTTATGTTATCGAAAAGTCATTTATGGAGTTGCTCTAGAGCTGTGGTGAATAGGGTATATGAATTGAGAATTGAAAGCTCTTCGTGGCCGTAATCATGTGTTCAAACATGATTATGAACGTTCTTCTTAATTCTTGACAATAATGAAGATAAATTCTCAATTTTTTATTTTCTTTAATCTGGTAGACACGCACCAGGCGATGGAGGTATCGATTGGATAGGAGGTTGGGAGGATATACAATAATCGTTCAATGTAAGGTATGTTGGTATGTCTAATTCAAGTCTAATTACTTAGTGTAGGTAATAGTAATAATTAAAAAATTGATTAATGATCATTATTATCCCACCTCGAAAGTATTTAATTTAATCAATTTTAAATTTATTTATAATATTAAATGTTTTCTTATTTTATAAGGATTGTGATAAAATTAGGCCTAAGATTGTGCGTGAATTTGAAGGAGTATTATCACGATTTGGTAAAATTGAAACCATCAGTATCTTAGTAGCTCCATTAATAAATAACTTTACTCGGAAATCAATAGATAGATTGAAATCATCAGAATACAATCTTATCTTTACAGATGAACTGAATTTGAGTTTAGATTTATTTCAATTTGTCAAGAGTAAATAAATTGAATCAACTCAATGTAATGAAAAGATGTTTCGACGAATCGAAATCATTGAAGGACAGAATGAAAGCTCTAATAAATATAGAGTCGTTAATATCATACTGTTATTATATATTTCTTTTATTTTAACTTGTATATTTTTTAAATTATAATTTTTATTTTATTTTATTTTTTTTGCATATATTTTATTTTTGTAAATAAATTTAATATTTTTAATTCATTTTATAATATCAGAAATTTATTTATATTAGTCATAAATTTTAAAAGTCATAATTTGTAAATTGCTCATTTGCATAACTATTTAAAAATAAATATTTTAAACAAAATAAGGTCACATGGCTTTAATCAAAAATTTTACAACTTTTTGGCCATTTTATTTTAAAGTTAATAAGCCATATTTTACATACATATATGCTTAAATATTAATTTGTCTTTAGCCAAATTTTAGCGAAAACAGATACATATGGACCAGGTGCCAGAAAAAGGGCCCAAATTAACAAAAAAAAAATCTTCGGAAAATTAATTTTTATGTTATAAATCTTATATAATAAATCATAAGAAAATACAAACTTTAAAGAGCTATACTACAAAATTTTATTAATATAACTACTTTTATATCTTAAGTAAAAAAATGATCTTAATTTATTCTAAATTGATTTATGTAAAAAAAAAAAGTCTTTTAAAAAAATTGTCAATTTGGTCTCTTTTTCCAGCACCTAGCCCATATGTTAGATAGTATAGCCCAAATCGGCAGCTTTCTTGCAGTCCCATACCATTACCCAAGTCAGATTTTTGATAATAAATAAATGGTTTATTTTTGTCCTTTTCGACTCCGAATCCATTTCCATAACAATCACCAACATGAAATATTCCATTGAAAAAACTGTGCATTTTTCACGAATATATCAACATATTAATATCATCAATATTCATCAAGTCATTTTCGCATAATATCAACGTTAATTGGTTTTTCCAATTTTTGTAAATAAATTCTTGAACAAAGAAAATAAGTTTTCTTTAGTGTCAAAATTCCTTGTACTTTACTGTAAAAGGTCTTTTGTCTGAATGGTTAATTTTTGTACCGTTAACTACTTTATCGCTTTCTAGTAATAAGCTTGGATCTGATGTCGGGAAAGCACTAGCAGATTCTCTTTGCAATAATATCGCTTTAACTACTTTGGATCTTTCAAATAATGACCTTGATTCTGACAGAGGGAAAGTGTTAGCAAGTTCACTTAGCCAAAACAATACGTTAACTACCTTAAATCTTTTTAATAATCAAATCGGGTCTGAAGGTGGAGAAGCATTAGCAATGCACTTCACAAAAATAATAGTTTAACTTTTTTAAATCTTTCATATAATGACCTTGAAACTGTAGTAGGAAAAGCATTAGTTAACTCCCTCCACGTGAACACAACTTTAACCTCATTTCTTCTTTCAGATTAAAGTTCATTATAACTAATATCCAAAGAAGTTAGCGTGAAGTTCTTGAAAAGTGCGCCGGACGCACTTATTAAGAATGTCACTCTAACTTCTTTGTATCTTGATTATCGTTGCATTGGACCAGAATTTTAAAAACGTTTGCAAGGGGACTTTGCAGTTCTTTGCAGTTTGTATTAGTATTAGATTAATTTTGTTGGGTGACAAATATTGAGGTTTTTTAGATGTAATTTTTTTTAAATTTAAAATTGTAATTCTTTGTTTTTAATATGCTTAAAGAAATTGTCATTACAAATTGGACTAATTGGACTATTTAATTTATTTGATTTTTTTTATTTTATAATTAGAATGCTTAACACAGAAAACTGGATATCTTTAGGAACTTCACCATTGCTTAAAAGATTTGTTAGCAAAATAAATAAAATCAATTTTAAATAAATGTTGTGGCTAAAGCTTGGCTGAACCTTGAAATTTTAAATATTTTAATATGAAATTCTCAATGAAGTTTGGAGTTGCCTTTTTTTATAGTTTAGGGTGGGTTAATTTTTATAATAAAAGAGTATAGGTGGATTTTGGTATGGTTTATAAGTAAAATTATGAACACTGTATCTTTTGATAAAAAATCTTAGGTGACCTGAAATTTTTTTAAATCACAAATTACATCATGTCTTATCCCACTTTCGATATTGTTCTATAGCTTTTTGAACTTGTTTGCGTCATTTGATTTTTTCTTTTGCCAATTCAGATAATTTTTGATTATTTTAGGCAATATGTCGCCAAATATCTAAATCGCTCTTGAATTGGTTCGTAGCTTTAAGACGTTTCTCTTCATTTCTAAAGTCGTCCTATAAGTGATTTCATATTTATATATTGATTCATTGCGTAAAATAGAATTTACATAAATTAAAATTACCCCACCATCATAATTTTTCTCAATAAGACCCTCTATATTAATAATCTACGTGTTGCTTTAAAACTATGGATATTCATCCCTAGTTTAAAGTAATCTGAAGATTGTTTATATTATTTGTTTAGGATTCAGTTCAAATCTCTACTCTATGTAAAGCCTTTTCAAACAAAATTAGAAGTCAGATTTAATTAAAATTTAAGAACATGAATGAACATGAATTGATAATAACTTGCTTAGTTTCATTATTGATTATATAAAGCTTTAAGAATCTTAATAGAGAACGTGCTTTTCAACTAACTTTTTGATAAATAAATAATTTAATTTGCTTATCTGTATTGTTGCTAGGATGTATTCTTACAAGGTTTACGCTTCTTTCTAAATAGCAAACGTAAAATTAAATAAAATTAAATAAAGACAATAACTTGAATTTTGCATTTCAATTAATTTTTTATTAAATGCAAAAAATAATTTAATGCATTGTTATGAGGCATTTTTCTATTAATGGTACTGTTGGAATAATTTCTTCTATTTTTTATTTTCTGAGAAAATAATTGATTCTGAAAGCTCTTAACTGCTAAAGAGGATTTAATCTTATTTCTTTGGTAAAATTCAATAAACGGGCCCTGTTAAGAAGTTCAATTAGTAATTGAAACAAATTTTTTATTTTTATTGTCTTATAGTATACAAATAAATTAACCACTCAGAAGTGCTCAAGAATATTTTGTTCAAAATCATCCTTATTTCAAGAATCATTTAAATAATTTACAAAAAGTCTATAAAGCTTTTAAATTAAACGAAGAACTGGAACTAAAAGTTATACTTTCTATGCATATTTAATTAGTAAGAAATGTTGAATTTATTAAGTTCTCGAGTGGACATTTATATTTTATTTTTGATTATACGTATATCTTTTTATATTTTTTTAAAGTGTCTTATCTTATTTCTTATCGATTTATTTTAATACAAAAAGATAGCTTATATGATTATGACTTTTCTTCGGCTATAGATTCTTATTTAAATTTGAATTTAATTTCTTATGAACAAAAACAAGTAATGAATTTAGCAGTATATTTAATAACATCAATTATAGAATGAATGCACTACAAATCCAAGCTATCGAAATTGAAGAGGATGACAGTATCGAAATCCAAATCAGAAATATTTGGAAAAAGATAGCTAATAATGAAAACAACAATTACCATTATTCAAGAGTCACATGCATCCATACATTCTGCGAATTGGCATATGTATCATTTGAGTTAATGAAAAAATAAAGGAATTAAAGAAATCAGGTCAATTCTTCTGGCCATATTACTGTGATCCCGGAGAAGAGAGACAAGAAATAAACTCAGAGGCAAATAACTGGAACCGTGAATTTATAATAGGCGAAAGAATTTCAAGCCATGTGAATAAAATATTAGAAGAATCATCCGCCACTTATTGATACTCGTTCAAAGGTTTGGTTGGTTTGTCATTTATAATAACGAGCCAATTAACTCTTCTAAAGTGAGAAGAATATCAAAGAAAGGATAGGCTGATCTCATTAAAAAAAGAACCAGCAGATAATATAGATTATTACAAGCTGTCTGATGAAAGTTTAAAAGAATTAGAACAGCATTTAAAGATTATTTCATTCAAATGATTCGTGTATTAAATGCTTTCCTTATTGCTTAAATCTTTATTGAATTCTCTGTATGCATACTGTTATATAAGTGTTATGGAAAATTACAATGAAATATTTCAATGTAAAGGCAAGCCTCTTTAACTTATTAATTTTAATATGCTTTTTTATAACACATTTTTTAGTCGTGTATGATTAGTGAAATCATGCTATATAAGAATAGAAATTGAATTTCTGTTGACTATAGAAATTATGGCCACATAACAAAATCTCAGTACCAAAAATTTCACTATTAAATAAGGTTAAAAAAACTTCACTAGTGCAAAGGAAAACTTTGTGAGCAGATCATTTTTACAAGCCTTACTGTAATTTTCTTTATTGAATTAAAATTTTTTTTATTATCACACTTTCTATAATATTAATAAAGTAATTTTATTATCAAAAAACGTAACTTCATATTGAATTGTTTTACTTACATAGATAAAAAAAGTAGTAAACAAATTGTTGTACTATTTATCGTCATCACTATACTAATACATATGTACATGGTTTCTGAAGAATTAAAAGATTTTTAAAATGAAGCTGAAGAGATTTCAGGAAACGAGCAAATTTTTCAAGTGTCCAAGTAATATGAAAATGCTTCTGGTTAACCGACATCTGGATATATCGGACAATTTCTTTATTTTTTTGAGGTGTCGATAAACACGTATAATCAGAGTGACGTGTATAAATTATTTTAATATATTAATATTGCAATATAATTCTACGATATTAATTTTATTTTCAAATCTAGAAGCCTAATATGTAGAGCCTCAGTTGCGCCGTTTTTAGTTTATAATGTTTATAATTACAAGAAGAAATCACATTTAACTAATACAGAAACTATAACAATTAATAGTAACATATAATTATAAAAAATGATTTTTTCTTGTTTACACTCTATTCTAGTTTGATTTTTTTCCAACTTAATTTGCTTATTTTCAGTTTTGATTCGATCATTTTTAATTTTATGTATAAACTTCTCCTAATAT